GCGTCGGCGAGAGTGCGGGCGATGTCATCTACGGCCGGGTTCGCCGATGGCCGCCCCGCTTGTTGCTGATGGCGTGCCTCGTGCTCGCTTCCGGTCCGGACGTTCTCTGTCCTCTGCTCCTCCTCGTCTTGTTGCCGCCTTATGTCGGCCAGTCGTTGTTGTACCCTCATCTCCACCAACTCGTTGATGCGGGCGTCCTCGTCTTCTGCGTGACGGGCGCCTCGTTCTTGGTCGGCGCTGGACATCGGTGACAGCTGCTGATCGCCGCAAAGCGATACTCCAAACTAAGCTCGACGCGAATCTCGTAGACGACGTATCACGCTAGCGTGATCGATTATTCGGGTGGCTCAGTTGTGTGTGATAGGAGTGTAGAGCAGCTCGGCCATTACGGGCCGTAGGGGTAGGAAACGTCGTGCAGACGTGTGGAAAAACGTGTTGTATCCGTGTTGCCGTGTTGTATTAATCGGGGGCGTGCTCGTGCTCGTCAAACCATCACGGTATCGAGTCACGCCTTCATGCTTTCTCACACAACGAATCTCTCTGAATCCTCACCAAAAGCCTCTCACAACCAAGGAAAATAGGTAGAAAGTTCCTGTTCCTCCGCATTTCATCACTGCAATATTCGTACGTACGTACATAACATCTCAACCATCATACTATGCTACGAGTATATCGAATAGAATGCTTGATATCCGAAACAGTATGTGGGCGGTCCAGCGCCAGTAGCTCCTGACACGGCGCAACGCGTGGTGCGCGACTGTCAGGTCGTACCTGCTTTATTCTTTCCGTGCGGGAGCCAGAACACCGGAACATCGATGGGAAACGACGTAACGTGCATGCTGAAAACATATCAGATGCACACAGAGCAGGACGGGTGAACCGGCAGAAGATTATGTTATAGTCTAGTCTAGGTAGATGCTTCGGTCGGCTAAACACTCCACCGGTGTGGCAGAGTCCTGTTTAACCCCTCGAGCTGCATGTCGCCCCACAAGACTCCATCCTATCGATACCTCACTCAAGGCCTCAACGCGTGTGCCGTTTCGTTTCTGGGCCATGGTGATATCCGTTGTGAAGCCGAAACGGTATAGAATAGTCTAGACTACACTGGATTTTTGTTTCTGTTACGGCCCGGGAATACCAAGGTATCCGTCGATAAGTACTTCCCCGAGGATCTCAGTACACCTTTCCTTTGCACAAATAACCCGACCGAGTGGAAACCGAACGCTGCAGTATATTTTCTCTCATGAACGTTCCTGCAACAACACACCTAACACTCACTTGGTATGCACCAACTTGCTCTCTCTTCGTCTCCTCCCCCCAACGTAACGACTTACACAAGTGTGAGTTGCCTCTAGACTATGCTTGGCTATCAGGCTTTGGCGTGGATAAACCCCTGCCGTCGAATTCCGAAGCTGCCGACTGTGAGCCGAGGCGGACCCACCGCCGGCGGCGGAACTCTCGCCTACCCACGTCACTGGGTGTGTCTTTTTTTTTTTGTTTCGGCTCGCTCAGCCACTCGACCCCACGGTACGTACCACTATGGCAAAAAACGAAACGGCATCACGAAAAATCACAAAAGTCGGTACTTAAGATAGAGAGGGGTTATCGGGCATGCCATCGTGCATGTAGCCGCTGCATACCGTTATGCCTCAGATCTTGCCAGACTGATAAAGGGAGGCAGGCGTATACTACAGTTTAGAACAAAACATACGTTACATCACAGGAGTATCGTTGCAGCATGCGTCTACGTATACCACATGGACCTCGAATGAGAAGATGATGAGGCAAGGGCGTGTTCATGGTGTGAACTTTGTTTCAAATCAAGACATATTCTCAAATGGTGAAAGAGCTTACGGTTTACTGCTTGTTGTCTGTATGCTTTTTGCTTGTTTTCGGCCAAACTTCGACATTTTTCTCGTGTTCTTTGGCTCCGAATAATCCAATACGCTTGGTGGCGGATGAACATTCACATATAGTCTTTATGTGGAGACAATTGCCCGTACAGCATAATGTGCGCATTTCTCCGTCCCATTTGTTGGCGAGATGACTTTGGGGCACGTCCGACAAGACTTCACATGGATGGCCAAACCTTCGTCCGTGTTTCCTGCTCTGTATCATCCCTCACTGTAATTTGACCTCATGCTGCAGACGTATGTATACGATCTGACACTCTGTGCACACGGTAACAGCACACCGTCGCTACGAGTTGGTTTAGGGATGGGATGCCACTTCCTATTCCAGGTTGCATGACATCGCGTGCTGCCAAATAAACGTCAATAATCAACCAATCAACCAATCAACGACTGTTGAGCCGCAAAATTATTGGTTCTCGCGAAACGATTCTGAAGGGGATCCTTCCCCCGTCATGGGTTGAGCGGGCCTTAGAACCGCCAGGAGAAACCGGAAGGCGCCAGCCCACCGTTGCAGAACTGGCAGCGCACGATGGGGAATCTACTACGCCGAGGAAAGCCCAGCACAAACTGGGCAAGGCGGTTAACAAGAAACAACTTGAAAAGTTCAGGGAGTCTCTGGAGCACCTCCCTCAGGAGGCGGTACCACCCACGAGGGACAACCCCTACGGAGGTCAAGAGAACAGGAACATGGCATACGCACGAACGAGAAGCTCGCAAGTGCAAGGGGGACACGCGTTCCTGAGAGCGGTTCCCACCGGCCGAGCTCGAGAGATTCCATCGAACGAAACGCGATGAGACGCGCCTTGGGNGAAAAGTTCATGGAGTCTCTGGAGCACCTCCCCCAGGAGGCGGTACCACCCACGCGGGACAACCCCTACGGAGGTCAAGAGGCCAGGAACATGGCATACGCACGAACGAGAAGCTCGCAAGGGCAAGGGGGGCACGCGTTCCTGAGAGCGGCTCCCACCGACCGAGCTCGAGAGATTCCATCGAACGAATTCGTCTACGCGACGAGACGCGCCTTGGGAGTTGAAGAATTCTTGGCGGAAAGATGTCCCAGGTGCCACAGAGGCAGGGAAGGCGAGATCATCACAACGGTGCACGCAAGGACCTTTCCAAGGGATGGAGCACAGGTCAACATGCACAAGCCGTTAAAGTACGCACTATCGAGGGCATGCAACGGCCTTCGCGTCAAACACGACGTTGAAAGCGGGGCACCGTTCACGGGGGAAAGAAACCTGAGCATGGACATCGTCATCAGGCCAGGAGCCCTCACGAACGCATCTTCTCCGGGGTACCGCAACAAAGGAATACTCCTCGATGTCACACACGCAGACCCGCAAGCACAGGTACACTTGCGGAACGGCAGCGCGACCAGCGATGGAATCGCAGCCCAAGCATCCGAGGCGCGAAAGCGTCAGCACTACGCTCGTCCGGGACACGTGTCCTTTGACGAACGCAGCTTTAAACTTACCACCTTAGCCGTGGAAAGCTTTGGCCGCCTTGGAGAGGAGGGTTACGAGTTCATCGATGAACTTGCGACACATGCCGTGGGAGGAAGGGACGGAGGAACGATGGCTCTGAAAGGAGTCTTCAAGGAACGACTTCTTCAGATCGTTTCGGTGGCTACACAGGTGGCCATATCTCGGCGAGTGCAGAGGTACAAGCTCGCATTGCGCGGGCGTCAAGACGCCGAAAACACGCGAACAAGATCGACCTCGGACCAGCCAACGCCAACGTTATGGGGATGGAGTGTAGACGCATCGTATAACGCATTTTCGTTTGAAGTTGGCGTCTTGTTTGAGAGTAGATGTGACAGATTTGCGAAGAATAGGGTAAGATGTTATCATGAACGGAGAAGAAAGGGCTTTTCCAACACGGAGATGTAGCATGGATCAAAGCATTTGTTGGATTTCAGCTTTTACAAGAGGATATCAACGCAGTAGTATTTTAGCAAGCTTACGAACGCATGTAGGATACCATGAGGATTGTCATTGGTTTTATTTCAAATTGAAGAGGAGATATTTTTACGATGTAAGTGACAGTAGAAATAAGTCCTACATATTGGTATGTTGTTGTACGTCGTATTGGTTCAACAGCCATGTAGAGTATGAGACATTAAGTGAAAGTTTTCTGAGGTACATCTATCTGCAATTGTCGGAAGGCGAAAAAAATATCAATAATAATAATTATCGTAGTTCCGGCGCAAGCCATAACTACCGTAAATGACACAAGATAACACACCCCCTGTCGCGATTTTCAAAGCTCCATTACTCCATGACTCAAAGAAGAATGCATAAACGAAATGATACATGTTCGAAAGGCTCTCAACGAACGAGACGGTTCCAATGCTGCCGTTTCCGTCGCTGTGACTCTTCCTCCTGTTGTTGCGAAATCGATCTTCGAAAATCGGTCAAGGGGGTGTCTTATCTTGTGTCATATACGGTAATGGTTGCACCGCGGCGATATCCCATCCACATCACCGACAAAAGCATCCGAATCGAGAATCGAAAACGTAAAAATAGATAACGTTAGGCAGACGGAATGACCTGGCGCGTAACGACGAGCAGGAAAGGATCCTTCTCCGTCGGCAAGACGAATCCTGGCCACATCTATCTTTGACCGGAAAGTAAACCTCACCATTTTTGGTCGTTATCTGTAGACTATGCATGCATGCGTGTTTTGACATACAGAATTGGCCCGCAATAAATAAAAAAAGATGTAAACAAAAGTGAAAAAGGCTCAACTTTCACAAAAAATAAGAAAACAGGGCTAACAAACTCACAGCTCATCTCGGCCACAACAACATAAGAAACGTCCCGAAAAGAAACTAAACATGATCGTGTGATACCCTCCACATAGATGTAAGAAACAAGTTGCTGCGAGAGTGTCGGTGTCCAATGAGAAACGTCCAACTGATGATGCTCCTGCTGCCATGCTCCCACCCCTACCTGACTCATGTAGTATTTTATTGGTAGGGGGGGGGAGAGGACATTTTCGTGACGCCCCCCGCTCCCCAGCGCCGCCGCCGGCTGCGCTATTCCCACCAGCCACTGCAACTGTACTGGTCGTGTGTTGGTTTTTTCGCCAGAAATAAGAAACCAAGACAATAAGAGAATCAGCCGGATGCAATAGCCCAAATTATCAAGAAATCCGTTCTAAGAAATTGGCCTTCGTTCGAAGAAATTGGGCCGACTTCGGCTGGTCCTTCTGCCCGAAATGAGAAATTGAGGTTCGACCCGACTTTGACTTTCTTATCTCCGAGCCCGGTCTGTACCGTGCCCAGCATAAAGATTTCGTCTTGTCATGAAGCTTACTCCATCTACCTCACTTCCCCATACTAGTGCCTGTTTTGTTGGTCCCTTGTTGTGCCCCCATTGTGTACATTGCTACTGTTTCGCACCGCTATGCATCTATCTGAATCTGTGCTACAACGGTTAGTATGTGCTTCTTTTTTCCTTCAACCAAGTCATGCCTGCTACTACAGCACTTCGCTATGCAATGCCAATATCGATGACACCCAGCTTTCTTTGCCTCCTCCTTGCCGCCACCTCACGGAATCCCAGTTCTTTTCTTTTTTTAGCTAGTAGTGCTGATCGCACGGGTATCGTCGTCGTTGCTAGTCTCAACGACTACTTATACTGTACGTGCCAATATCATAACCATAGCACACACATTTCCTTTTTCGTGCATCACATTCTTTGACGTCCCGATCTTACATATTTCATATTTCACCTATTTACACTCCAAACATAGACTATTCTTATTTGCGACATCGCACATCATGTTTACGCGTGTCGTTCCCGACAAGTAATGTGCACGGTGATTCTGTCACCAGGTGGCCGTCCCACCTAATCGACGGGCCGCCGTACTCTAGTTACCCCCGAACCCCCCTGGACAACTTGTAGGTGTGGGTGCGGCGTTGCATGGTGTAGATATTGTAACTAGCCTCCAGCCCCCCAGTGAAAGAAACAGACAACTCGCCACAGCGTTCGAAAACGCGCACTGCGAGAATTCTTATGGAACACAGCTATTTTATGACAACATCATAAATCGAGCAGTTGGCGAAGTTAAGATTGATTTTTACTGTTGAAGCGTCCCCAAGGCTTGGTGGATGCGTCACGACATTGGAAAAAAAGTGGTCAACGTCGTGTACGTGTCTCAAGATGAATGTCGGTTTCGCTAGGGATCGCCAGGGTTTGAAAGGTTTAGTTTGACAGCGCTTACCATGTGAAATTGCCGTGCATGCAGGTAGCTGCCTCGAAATATTGTGGTTCAAAGAACAGTGAAATAAGCACTCCGAGGTGAAGAAGGATAACTCGAATGGGACGAAAGCTGTCCACCGCGCACATCATGAAAGCATCAACTGGACGAGAATCATCTCGACGAAAGAGATGGGTCCATAGACGGGTATGAGATGCGACTATACTTGTACATATCTGTAGGTGCGATGTGTCTAGAAACATTTGAACCCCTACTTGGAAGCAGCCACGAAGGGCACGAGCACAATGAACCAATGCTTGAACAATCCCGCCTAATAATGGACCTCGTACCCATTTTTTGACGAGGCAAGGCGGTATAGTGAATGGGCTGTTGCCTTTTTTGAATGAACGATTGATTTCACCAGGACAGGCTGAGACTTGTGCATTACCCCAAGGCCGAGCTGCAAATAGCAATGGAAGAAGTTCCACCACAAGTCACAACCACAATATAAAAAAGGCACGTTGATGATTGCATCGCTGCATTTGAAGCAAAAGTATGGACACCGCCAGGGCATCCGTTGGCGGGCCGAGGCGTCCTAGTAAAAAAGACACAGGAAAACGAGTACTACGACGGGGTTCTTGATGGCAATGTTCACTACCCGTTTCCCCGGATTACGTAGCCTAGCACACCGAAGAAGTGCACATCAGATCAAGGAAATCGCGGACACTTCTGACAGTGCAAGGCGGGGTCGAATAGTCTACTCGGACATACATACATGAAGAGAGAAGATTAACTGTGTCTTCCACGAGATCGGAAATTATGCATGAGGCACACTCCCAAGAACGGACCGACAAGTCGAAACGAACCAAGCAACGGACTGCGAATCAACCGCTACCCAAACCCATACTCATCGACCTGCAGGTACGTGCGCCAGTAGCGTCCGGCAGGCGCAAAACGCAAACGCACAGAAGGAAGTGACCGGCACCACCATGCGCGCCATAGACCCTTCCTTACACTCGACCACACGCACCTCGAACAAGCACACCAGGTCTGTGAAAAGCGCTCTCAACTGTGTCATACCACAAAGGGGGAAAGGCGATGTTGTCCAGTCACTCGGACGCCCACCAACCGAAATCAATCTGAGTATTTTGCTCCAAACGCACGCCTTAGACGCAGCACGTTCGAACGACGGGTAGCGTATCGAGAACCACCGCGACGAACGGTTGCTATTCTGGTACCATTGTAACCCACTCTCGACAATAGGCGGGCAAGGTCGGTGTGTGACCTTGCCATCCTCGGGAACAAATGCATACACAACAAAACCTACAGGTACGCGAAAAAAACACCTGTTGTCTGTCTGTAGCGTCTGTGCCAGCCCACCGATATCATACGTAGGATCCATGAAAATCACTCTGCGTAGGCCAGAGAACCGAGAAAGGGTAGGGCAGTGGAAAAACTCATTCGGACCTGAACTCCGGACCATACGGGACAATGACAAGTACAAAGTTGACCGGATGATGATCGCGATCACGAGTAAACCCGGTGACGATACTCATTCCGATGATGAATGGTTCCCAACGATCACGCAGCAGGAGGGTTTTGTGAGCGTCCCATCGTCGCGAACAAAGACATGCACTCTAAAATTCCAACAGTTCCGCGAAGAAAATATCTTTGAACATGCCTGCCGGCCCACCGAATTCATGCATATTTTCCACGAAAGGCATCCAGCCTACAAACGAGCACCACGAAGGGGCAGACGCTGGTCAAAGCCACTCGGACCTTGACTCCGGACCGTATGGGACAAGTAACAACATGATGACTGGATGATGATCGCGATCACGAGCAAACCCGGTTACATTACTCATTACGATGAATGGTTGCCATCAACGACGAACGCTGCAGGTAGGTCAAATTGTGAGCGTCCCATCGTCGCGAACAAAACCATACAAAATGAAAAAGCAACAAGCACGAGAAGAAAATCTTTGTCGTCTCTACCAGCCCAACCATAACACACGCAGGATCCATGAAAAGCACCCAGGGCAAAACAGAGCACTAGGAAAGTGTAGGATAATGGTTGAAGCCACACGGACCAAAACCCCAGACCACATGGGACAAGCACGCAAATGACCGGATGATGATCGCGATTACGAGCAAATTCGGTTACGTTACTCATTCCGATGAATCTTCGCGAATGACGAACGCTGCAGTCAGGTCAACTTGTGAGCGCCCCATCGTCGCGAACAAAAACATACACCATAAAATACCACGAGGTACGCGAGGAAAATATATTTAACGTCCCTGATCTCGCCCGAAAACACACGTAGGATCCATGTATTTTTTTTGTTGTATCATGTTAGTCCTCCTTTTTTGTTTGTCGGGGTCCCCGTCCCCCCGCTGCTAGCTCAAGCGATCCTGTCTGTCTTTCATTTATTTCGGGACACATATGTCCATCAGCCGCTCGGGCGACATGTACAATGCATCGGCCGAACATGCTAGTATTCAGGCATCTACCGGACGACTTATGATTAGTAGGGTCAGTGAGGGTTGGCTTCTTCAGGTTTGGACTTTGTTGGCTCAACTACTGCTGCTGCGTATAGCTCGTGTACAACTTCTTTCTGTTTGCATCAGTTGTAGACTGCGGGCCCTGCCGCGTGACTCTTTGTTCTTTTCTCACGTCAACGCGTGTTTTTTGTTTGTGGTACTTTGGATATGTGCCCGATCCACATCATGCGCTGTACGCGCCTGATGGGGGTTACGTGCATGGGTATGAAGTATATGGACGGTAGAAGAAGACCTCTGGTGCTAGAGAGAGAAAGGGCCCACGAGCTCACTTGCCTGAGGGGCTTGCGTGTCGGATATGGATAATATATAGTCCTTTTCTTCATCTGCTGTTCCTGGGATAACATAGTCCCCAGCTTCGACACCACAGACCGCTGAGAGCGGCAGTGCCACGAACACGATAGAACGTTTGGACCCTAGCTGGGCCAGGTGTTGGTTCAGCGATGACATAAAGAGAGAACGAGTTGGAAGAACAAGTGAAGAAGCGAAGGTCAAGATGGCGGACCTGCAGGGGAGAGTTGAGGAGGCAGAGGAGAAGAGTTCATTTGATGACGCTTCTAGAGAGCGGGTGGGTGATGCCTGTTACGCGGCTGGTAACGTTAGGATGAACGATACCGGTTATGCGCCTGGGTACCATAACAGGAATGGAGCTGCCGGAGGGGCGTCTTCTTTTGGAGCCGGGGGAGCGGCTCATTTTTTCAGGACGATCGCATGTAGCACAGGGCCCGGAAGCCACCGGTGTACGGCGGCAACTTCCGGCTGTTCAAAAGGGTGATCCAGGCCTTCCTCAGCCGCGAAGGTCTTGTGCACACACTCGCGAAGCCAGCGAGTCCTGATCAACACATCTGGCCTATCCACACGTCAAAAAGAGAACGTCCGCTTTCACTGTGAGGAGCGCGTGCGTACCCATGCGTGTGCTCTTGAGTACCTGACGCGCGCCACGAAGGGGACCAAGTTTTAAGCTAAAATCTTGGAAATTGGGACTGCGTCTGGGGCGTGGGAGGCTGCCCACGAGTTCTTCCTCCTGATGAGTGATCCCGAGAAGCAGGCCCTGAAGCTGTCTCTCACCATCATGAAGATGCAGGTCGGAGAGGAACCGACGGATTACTTTCTTAGGTTTGACAAAGTGCTTTCTACACGCCACGCCGTGACGGCCATGAGATCACAGACCAAGAGGTCCTTGCGATGCTTCGTAGAAATCTCCGCGAGTTTTTCGTCTCTGTCCTGGGTCTGCGCTCCACCCACGGCAACTTCCAGCTGCTTCGAACGGACAACGGCCGCGAGTTCCTAAACGAGCTTGTCGACGATCTCCTCCTCGAGTTCGGCATCACGCGGGAGCTGACCTCGCCGGGCGGAGGCCAAAATGTGCAACGGCAAGGTGGAGCGGCGGATCGGTCCCATCAGGGAAGGGGGGCGAGCGACGGTGGAGGAGGCCGTGCACCTGTTCCCCGACATCCAATTCCCTACGAAGGCCCTCACGTTAGACGCCATCTACCCGGAGGCTTTTGCGTGGATGTCGGATTGCATCAAAGTTCTCGCGCAGCTTGACCAGAAACCGCACATGCGGTGCCCGAATAAACTGCCCTACCATAAGCGTCCTCTCCGCGCCCCGCTGCCGTTTCTGATGCCGGTTTTTCACCATGCCCGGCGCTCCTCCAAGATCGAGGCGAAAGCGAAACGCTGCTTCTACCTAAACAGCAGCGTCGGTCACTCGCAGGACTCCTACAAGGTCCTCTACGCCTCGGGCCTTGCGCGATACACCACAGATGTCTTCTTCGGCTACAGCAGGCGCCCGCGCTTCAGCGGTGTTGTGGCAACGTACGGCGGCGGCGCCGCGCGAGATCCGTGGGCAGACGGCGGACTTGACAAGGCGATAGCAGCCGTTCGCGGCGGCGGCAGCGGCGGTGATGAAGGCCGCACCGGCGGCGGGGGGCACGGCAGCAGCGGGAGCAGCAGCGTCATCCCCGGTCGCCGCTTTGGTGCCGGGCTCTCGGACGGACGCAGCGGCGGTGGCAACGGCGGCGGCGGCAGCGGCGGCGGCGGCGGTGGCGGTGATGGAGGAGATGACGACGCCCGTGGCGTGCAAACTTGGGTCAGCGACCGCGATGCGCCCGACAGCAGCTTCGTCATCGACCCCGACCGGCGGGACCCCGACCCGCGCCGGCTCCCGCGCGCGCCACACATGCAGACCCAGCAGCAACGTCATCAGGTCACCCCCTCCGTCACGAGGTCATCGGCGCGGCGCTTGGCCGCCGCTGGGCCTCTACCGCGATCACCGGGGGTGTTGGTGATGCTTGCGATGGCGGAAGACTTCGACGCGTGGATGGACAATGAGCGTTGCTATGGGGGTCCGGAACTGCCGGATGGGCCTGCGAGCGAGCGTGTGACCCCGACGGCGTTGGCGGAGGCGCACTCGGGCGAAGACAGCGACATCTGGTACAGCGCTGAGGACGCGGAGTTCACCGAACATCTCGAGGCGGAGACTTTTTCGCTGGGCAGGCTCGTAGCAGCCAGGGACGAACATCATTTCTGCCAAATGGGTGTTCCTTCGGAAGTCCAACGAGTGCGGTGATGTGATGCGCGCAAAGGCCAGACTGGTAGCAAAGTTTGATTATTTTGAGACTTTTTCCCCATGCCCGTCTGTTACTAGTATTCGCGTTCTTGCAGCAATTGCTTTTTATCTTGGTTGGGATTTTGTGCAACTTGATGCTGAGCAGGCGTTCGTTCAATTCAAGCCGGAAAAGGATGTGTACATTCGTTTGCCGAAAGGTTGTGGCTCTCTGTCGGGTAAAGCTGTCAAGCTTGCCCGTAGCCTGTACGGTCTGAATCAAGCGTGCCGCATGTGGCATTTCCATTTGTTCCGAGCAATGAAGCGTCTTGGGTTTGAGCAGTGTGCTGCTGATGCTTGCGTCATGCGTCTGACTGAGAATGGTGTTGTGACAAGGTGGTTGGTGTGCACATCGACGACATTTTCTCTATCGGAACCAAGAGTAGGTGTGATCAGTTTGTCAGAGACCTGAACGCTTTCGTTCCGATCAAGAACCTTGGGGAGGTGAGGTTTACGCGGATATTCGTTTTTTTCGTGATCCCGCGGGTGGTACGGTTACCTTGTCGGAGGAGACGTTTGCTCGGAACTTGGTTGAGACGTTCGGTGTCGCAGGTAACAAGGAGACTCCAACGGCAGTTGGCTGAAGCTTGAGGACTTTGGCGATGCAGAGCCTGGTGTTCTTGAGCCTTTTCGGTCTTTGGTAGGACACTTGATGTGGCTGGCGAATCGAACTCGCCCGGACATTCTCAATGCAGCGCGAGTTGTGGCGAGGTATGCCCACGGCCCCAAGATGGTGAAATGACGTGCAGCTTTCCACGTTGTGATATATGTCAGGTTCGCGGTCGGTCTTGGTATCACGTATCAGCACGTGACGGAGGGAGGTGTCTCGTTTTACCTTTTCGTTGCCTCCGATTACGCGAGCAACGCAACTGACCGGCCGTCGGTTTCTGGTGCGGTTGTGATGTGTGCGGGTGCGTGTGTGTCGTTTTCGTCGCGGACGTAGAAGAGTGTTACACTTTCTCCGACTGAGGCCGAGTATGTTGCGATGGGCGACGGTTTCAAGAAAGCGATTATTGCTTGCGCTATCTCTGGAGTTTTACCTTTCCGGATGAGCGCATCGGGTGCACCATTTTTCACGAGGAAAACATGGGAGCCCTTCATTTGGCCAGGAACCCGGTCACCACCCCCAACTCTAAGCACATAGACATCCGTCCCCATTTCATTCGGGAGAGGGTGGCACGCTAGCAGTTTAAGGTGGTCCACGCTGCATCGGCTTTGCAGCACGCCGACTTTGTGACCAAACCACTGCACAGGGCGGCATTCTGCTTTCACCGTGACTTTGTGGTCACATAAATATAACGTGTTTGCGGTTTTTGATTTTTAATGTGAGGTTTTTGCGTTTGTTTTTCCTGCGTAGTTTCCGTTTGTAGCAGAGTTTGTTTAGTCTCTTCTTGCTGTCTATGCATCTGCAATCAAGGGGGGGAATGTCATGTGCGACCATGATTATCGAGTGCATGCACAACAATTGATGTCTTGTTGTTTCTCCTAAGTTTTTGGATACGTCTCAGCGAAGGGGCTGTTCACGTAAAGATAAAACGTTGGGATGATAGTTTCTTGGGATGTCACAGCAGGGGGGTGTTAAGGAGTGTTGCTGTATGGCACAGATAGGGTACACAGTCGGTCTAGATGAAGATGGGGGACGTCAGGAGGTATACCCTCTTAGGACGTACCCCATCGGTACATAGCTATCTGCGTGCCCCCAGGTTGAGGGCAATCCGCCTCACCTCAGACCTGTAGCAGACCCGCTTCTGCAATAACAAGCAACCTTCCCATCTCAACGTGCTCGTGGACAAGAGTGTCTACGGCAGAATCTACATCTACTACATCTAGGAGGCAAG